ATGGTCAAATACATGCACATTCTCAATGTTTAGTGATTATTCATATTAGCCCTCATTTGTGTAACAAACAACAACTTGAGAATCAAAAGACACGTGAAAGAGAAACTATACCAGAGCCGCACTATTCTTAAAGAGACAGTGCGCAATATCCCTGCTGCTGACTGTTTTTATCATTTAACCAAACAACAAAAGGAGAAAAGCCCTCACTGCTCTTGACTGAAGGACTTTTGTAGCTAAAGTTTTTTCTATACAGTGAAGATGCTTAAAGCACAGTTTAAACATGACAGATGTAAAGGGGTGGTCCAGAATGTCATTTTAAGATGCAGAGCAATGTGTGCTCATGTTTCACTTGATGGAAATCGCGTTATCTTTTCATGGATCTCACTTTGATTATAGACAGCTACTTAGCTAACATGAAAACGACTGTCATATTTCCTAGTTCCTCTGAAAGGCCCGCCCTCAAGTGACTCTGATTGGTCATCGTCATAATGTGCTGCAATTCACAGATCGGCTCCACGTCACGCCTGTAAAAGCGCACGCTTTTCTGCTGTCAACCTCCTGCCTGCTCTCTAAAATAAAATCTGACAAGTGTCTGTAACGAGTAAAAAGGGGGTGCTTTAAGAGCGTTTTCTATTGTGCGTGCGTCTATGTGTGTGTGTGTGCGGTGTAAATGTTGTCTGCATCTATGTGTGTATGTGTGTGAATGTGTGAACTTTCTGTAACAAGCGCATGTGCGCTGGACTTTCTTTTTCTGTGATGCTCAGATTAAATTATTTTCTGTAATATATCGTGACAGAAGAATAAAGCACAAGATGTGGGATGCTACCTGTGTGAGCCTTATTGGTTTTTTGCTGCTACCACGAGTCCACGAGGTGAGCTATCCTGAATTTTTTTAATTCTATGCATTACACGACGTCTTTCACATATATCCGGAATATGCAGGTGTAAGTAATATAAATCATCCACATATCTTTTGCGACTTCATTATCTGAGATGTGAAATGTATGGAAAAGCTGCCTAAAGAGAAGAAATGCAAAGTCCTGCACACACATAAGAGACAGGAACATGCTGGTGGAGTCTGTGTTTGTTTACAGCAGTTTGACTGATAAATATGAATATAGCTTAATCGTTTGCTCGCAAAGCAGCATTTCCCATTGTTTACATCGTTGCTACATCATAACTTACCGTTAACGCTAGACACTGTACATGTCATGATCAATTTTAACAAATAAAAACACTTACAGGTTGCAGTTCACAGCTTCTGCTTTGAGGAGATTTTAGCCGAATCCAGCACTGAACTGAGAGAATTTCTGGAGGCTGTTTTGTCAAATCATACTTGCTGTGTATTTTATAATTCTCTGGAACATAATTAATATTGAACTGTAAGCACTTCTGTCTTTGTGTCGTGTCCTTTGGAAGCCCAAATACAGAAACAGACGAAGCTCTGTGGAAACAGCAGCGTTTAGATGCATTTTTAGCTTCATCTCTGCTTTAACGTTACAGCGCCTTTGGCCACGGCCTGTAGCTGTGCAGTGTGGGGTGCGCAGTAAACGTACCTTTGTGATTTCACAGGCGGCGGAAGTATTTTTTTGGAGTCCCCAACATTTGTTCATTGTAGGCTTTGCTAAGCTAATTCTGTAAAAACCAAGGTCTCCCTTTGCATTGAACTTAGAACTTTTTACATTCAGAAATGTTGTTTATGTTCACACAGCTACATTACACATCAACTAAAGTTTAAAATATAATATCATAACGGACCACCCATTTAATAACTCATTTGTAATAACTGATTTATTTTATCATTGCTATGATGACAGTACATATTTTACTAGATATTTTTCAAGGTACTAGTATTTAGCTTAAAGTGACATTCAAAGGCTTAATTGGTGTAATTAGGCAAGTAATTGTAAAACAGTAGTTTCTTCTGCAGACAATCAAAAATATATAGCTTAAAGGGGCTAATAAAATTGAGCTATTAAAATAGGTTTTAAAATATTTAAACCTGCTTTTATTCTTGCCGAGATAAAACAAATAAGCCTTAATCCAGAAGAAAAAAATATTATAGGAAATACTTTTCAAAAATTCCTCTGTTAAACATCATTTAGCAAATATTAATATATCAAAAAAAATCACAGAAGGGTGAATAATTTGGACTTCAACTTATAATCATTTTAAATAATTCCCAATTCACCCTAACCAGCAACCTTCTTGCTGTAAGGCAATCATGCTACCCACTGCGCCATTTTGACGCCCATGATTTTTTATATTACTAAATTCCGCAGGAACAAAAGTAACATTCAGGTGAGGTATTCTAATGACATATAGGAGTTCATCTGTATGTGCTGCTTATGAAGTGAACAATTAATTACATGCAATACATACATCTATAAATAAACAATAACCTTTGAAATGTGAATAAAGTTTGAACTAATTTATTCTATTATGCTGGTCCCTCTATTTAATGGAAGCCTGTTAACACCACAGGATAAAAAAGTCTAATTATAATGATGATAATAATATTAAAAATATCTATAATAAAGAGATTTTATGTAATTATTGATTTATTTTTCTCAGAGTTGCACATTTGTTTCTTACATTTGTAAGTTTTAGGCATTTCTTGTGATTCAAAGGTCAGAATTTTCTGATTTTAATAACTCAAATTTGCACATTACGTTTGTGTAGAAACATCTGAATTGTGGGATGTAAACTCATAATTGCAAGGAAGTCAGAATTATGAGGAAAAATGTCACAAATTCCTTTTTTCCCTTTTGTGGCTGAAAGAAGCTTCTGTACCAATTTATTAATAACCAATTTTAATTTACTGACTGTAAATCCTTTATACACTTTATATAAGCTACTGCCAACCTAACTTTAGCTTGTAACAGTTAAACAAAGTATGAAATTTAGTGAAGGAAATCAACATCGACCATATATAAAATATGTCTCTGTGTTTGTATAGATTTATTTATTAAAATGATATTTTAGTCACCAAAAATATTTAGAAGTTGAAAGATAATACAATTAAATTCAAGCTAAATATTGCCAAAAATTTTACAAAACTTTAGAATTATCATCAGTTATTTTGTTAGATAAGCTCCAGATTTGTCTTCAGTACTGACTAATCTGATGTATTCACAAATATAACATTGCATAGCTTTGAACATTGTAGACTCAAGAACAACTATCACTGAAGCATGAACAAAAAGAAAACCTGTGTGGAGCATTCGGGTAACAGTATTAATCAACTGCAGGTAAACTTTTGAATGACACAATTTTGACTAAATTAGCTATTACTGTATTTTCGTTTGTGGACTAAGTGTGAACATCTTTTCTGTGAAATCTATTATTCAGGTCAATAATGGAAAAAAACAAAACAAGGATACTTTTATATTAGTAAACTAACCTGCAGATTCTGCACAATGTAATTAATTGACTTCAGCTGTATATTTAAAAAAAATTGTGTCATTAAGGCATTTTGACAGCAACTTAATACATCCTTGCTGAATCAAAATAATAATATTGCATTAATGTAGTACAAGATGTTTTGCATGTCAGTTGGAACAGAAGACTTATTACTGCACACTTGACTTCAATGTAAATATAAATTTGTGTCTTATCAATGTAAAGATTTTGCAGTTATACGTGAAATGTATAACCAACAGAATTTTGTGAATTTTCCTGTGTTTCTGACAACATTGAAAAATAAAGCAGAACTGGTTATTTCATTTATTTACTGTGTTTTACTTTGTAGTTCTGGTGCATCTTAACGTTAATAAATTAAAAGAATACATTATACTGAATAGCCTATATTATACTGAAAACCACTACAATATGGCAGGAAAGGGATGGCAAAAGAAAGAAATCGGCAAACATTCAACACAGAGTTATACTTTGCACACAAATAAAATTTGAAAATTAATTTGATTTATAAAATGTGCTCTAATAAACCTACATTAGTGAACTGTTTTGTTTAAATAATTGTTCAGAAGGTAGGCTACATTAACTTTCCTATCGTTTATTTCATAACATCTTCTTGCATTTGGGAGATGGAAAAATAGTCTCATGTTCATTCCGTGGTACATCAACTGTCCTGCTGCGCTCGCATAGATATTTACACTATATATCACATATGGACCCTGAGCATGCGTCAATAGCGCCGCCATATTTGTACAGTCCTCCCAGGACAAATGTCATTCAACCGCACTAGTCAAGACAAGACCGTGTTATTACGTGAAGATGCTGGACTTTAACGCTGTCTACGGGTATAGTAACGAGAAAACAAAGCACTAATGCAGAACATTTCGTAGGCTACTATTAAGTTTTTTTCTGTTTTTGTATGTTCTGAACTTTTGTGCTAATCAGGTAACGTTATTGAGGATCACTACTGCGTTCACCATAAGGCAAAGCAGCTCCAACTCCCACTTAAACACTCGGCTTATGCTAGTTTTGTTGAATAAAATCAGCAAACAATGCAAAAGAAATATGCTGCGCTGCCAGAAACTTGTATAATTGTCGGCTAGTGAACGAGTCGTTTATAACGGGGATTCATTCATGAACGAATCGCTCCCTCCGTCTGTATGAGAAGTAGGAGGAGAGGAGGTGTGTTTCAGGACATGATTAGATCAACAGGGAGGGTGTACATTTCTGTACACACAAACACAAGCTTTTTGTCAGGAATGCCCGTGCGATTGATCCATCAATGTAGAAAAGTAATGTAAAATTAATTTTCGTAATTAAAAAAAAATTACATACATCCAAGAAACATCCCGATCATAGATATATGTGTATATGTGTATATCTCTGACTTTGGATGGCCACAGTCCTCCACTGTACCTCGGTCCCGCATTCATTTCAAAGGAGCGCTACCCTGTACCAAGATGGCGGCGCTATTGATGCATTCCGTCCAATAGACAACAATAGGCAAGGCGACATCTAATGTATATATCTATGCTGCGCTCGTACGGTGTTCGTCACAGCTGTGGGCGGAGCTTTGACGCAACGTGCATATCCGTACTTTCGGTTTGAAGGAAGTTATTAAACGGGTTTAAATGTGACTAACTAACAGGAGAATTATAACGCATCACGGTAGGTCCCAGTGTGTTTTCCTAGTATGAATATATCTGTGGTTAGAGACTGTGCAAGATTTGACATTAACAAATGTGATTAAATGTAGCCTATTTGTGTTTCTGCTGACTAATTTTATCAAGCGATACGATTTCTAAATTATGCGTTTTCACTCTTAGGTCAATACAGGTGACTTCGAACTAATCCTTAAAGGGAAAAATGGGCCAGGCTGAGAGCAGAAACACAGATGCTCCTTTGACGGATGTGAGGTCCTTTGAAAGCAGATCGGCGGCAGTAAGCTGATCAATTCTCGGTCTCCGTTTGTGTTTATGAGGAATAAACAGCATGCATGACAATGATGATTGATTCGATCAAATATTGAAAATGGCTAGACCAACATGGTAGCCTAATGACCAGCTGAAAACCAGCAAGGATGCTCTCCAGCCTGATGTTCCTTCTGGTTTAACTTAATTATATTTCTGTCCTTCAGTTCTCAGGTGTGATGCCAGATGTTCCTTTAACTGTGGTCGAGGAGATCTTGCTGAACCTGCCTGCTCATCATGTGGTTAACGAATGTCGTCTGGTGTGTCCTGAGTGGAAAGAGCTGGTGGACAGTGCTGCACACTGGAGAGAGCGCTGTATGAGAGAGGGGATTCAGCCCTGTGATGCTTCCAGACCCCCAGTGGACTGGTGCCAGTTTTATTTTATAACTAAGAAACGACGTAACCTGATCAAGAATCCAGTAGCTGATGGTGAGTCACTATTGAAAATAGGTAATGTTTAATACAGCAGTGACACTGCTCTAAAATATATTAACTAAATGTTTTCTAGGTGTACACAGTGTATGAGACTGCTGTCACTTTAAGATCTTATACACAGATGTTGTCTCCCAGCTGTTTATCTATACAGTTAGGAGACTGTTGAGCTTGGAGTGCGTTGCTTAAGCACTAGACAGAACCAATCATTTTATCAGCATCTTTTATTACTCACTTTCACATGCTCTCTCTGTACAGCGTGAACATGAGGCGGTAAAACACTTTCACTTTATATATATATATATATATATATATATATATATATATATATATATATATATATATATATATATATATGTGTGTATGTGTGTGTGTGTGTGTGTGTGTGTGTGTGTGTGTGTATATAAAATATAAGTAAAATTTTATGTACTGTCATCATAGCAAAGATAAAATAAATCAGTTATTAGAAATGAGATATCAAAACTAATATGTTCAGAAATAATAATAATAAAAAAAACTTCTTTCCATGAAACAGAAATTGGGGGAAAAGGGTTGCTAATATTCAGGAGCGCTAGTAATTCTGACTTCAAGTTTATAAACACAGTTATTTTCCACCCTGCAAAAGAAAGAAAAATAAATACAATAGAATAAAAATATTAAACAAACTGTGCTTTAAGCATCTTCACTGTAAGAAAAACACTTTAGCTACAGCAGTCCTTTAGTCAAGACTAGTGAGGGATTTTCTCGTTGTTTGATTAATAATCATAAAAACAGGCAGCAGCAGGAATATTTCTCGCTGTCTCTTTGGTTTTTCTTTCACTTGTCTTTTGATCCTCAACTCGTTTGTTTATTACACAAATGAGGGTTAATATAAATAATCACTAAACACCGCGTTTTAACACCTATTTGACCATTAAAGCGCTCACGTTATTGACTTTAGATGTCTGCGCTCCTCTGCTCGTCAGTGTGCGAATGCTGACTGGCCGCATGCTTCTGACTGAGTGTGCTTGCTGCACACACACACATAAGCTCGCGCTTTTAAGAGCAACACGTGTACAACTGGAAAGAAGGCGGTATATGATGCAATAATCTTTACTCGATTAATGCTTTTTTATAATCGTTTGAAATCGAAATCGGATTTTCGATTAATTGTACAGCCCTATATTATAGTGGAGCATTTTATGCCTTTTTCTACCTCAACACTTATCCTCTCCCGCGCCCCCCTTGTGGGACCCCAGGTTGGGAACCACTGATGTAAAGCATGTAAACAACATGACGTCATCACTACAGTACCGTAATACACTGAAATATAATTATGAACCCTTTAGTGATTCTATTATTACAATGAGCAAGAGTCCCAGTACTTTAACAGAGACCATATCTGTGCATCTGTTACTTAAACTGTTGACATATAACTGACTGTTACGTGAATACACATCAATATGGGCATTTTTAGACATAGAGAGTATCAGCAATAGGCTGAGAACTGAGAGGTGTGTTTCTACGTAATTGCTTCTGGTGTATGTCAGAGAAGTCGCCATGTACTCATCAAGTATATCACTCAACTCACAAGAAAAGCATTGATATAACACAAATACAGAACTTCACTCATACAAGGACAGATAGTCAAATCCAGTCTCCCTTATTTAACATTTTGGCTTTTATTTACTGGATTTAAAGCTGCCTACGAAATTTCATGTTTTGTCTAGCCAGGGCCCACTGGATACTGAAAACATTTCCTTCAACAAATACAGAAGAAAATCCCCTACAAATGATAAACCCTGTTAATTCCACAAGATTGTAACTGAACTGCCCTAGCTGCATTTAATCATTACCTCAGTTAAAACTGAAGTTAAAAATTAAGTTGAAATAATGATTAATGATTTGCTCAAGTCTAAGAATTATTACTAGAGGCATTGGAATTCATATGTTCACTCTTCAATTCTCTCTTTCCTCATCGATGATCATTCTGCACAATGTGTGCGTGTGTTTAGTGTTAGAGTCAAACCCAAATTACAAAAAAGTTGGAGTGCTTTTGCAATGAACTCCAAATGATTGAATTTGCAGATTTTCTTTAAGTTTTATTTAATTGTCAAAAGTGGGCAGCTCAGTGGCTGGTTTGAGCCTCGATTGGGTCAGTTGGCATTTCTGTGTGGAGTTTGCATATTCTGCCGGGGTTTCTTTCGAGTGCTGCGGTTTCCCCCACAGTCCAAAGACATGTGGTTTAGGTGAATTGGGTAAGCTAAATTGTCTGTAGTGTGTGTGAATGAGGTTGGTTCGAGCCTCGGCTGGTTCAGTTGTCATCTCTGTGTGGAGTTTGCATGTTCTCCTCTGGGTGCTCCGGTTTCCCCCACAGTCCAAAGACATGCACTATAGGTGAATTGGGTAAGCTAAATTGTCCATAGTGTATGTGTGTAAATGTGTGAAATTGTGTGGATGTTTTCCAGTGATGGGTTGCAGCTGAAAGGGTATCCGCTGCGTAAAAACGTGCTGGATAAGTTAACGGTTCATTCTGCTTCATATCGACCCCAGATTAATAAAGGGACTAAGCCAAAAAGAAAAAGCTTGCAAGCAGATTAATTGTATTCTGAAAATATGAATACATTTTATTTTTGATGCCTGGTGCACTCTCCGGACAGAGGCATGTTTATCATTGTCACATCAACATTTCTTGTTAAATTCAAAAATTGTATTAAAAGGAAAGATTTAAAAAAGTTTTACAAGCAAATGTTTGCCTAATCTGTCTTAATATAAAACTTAACAGTAAATTGTCATTATCTTTTTTTTCATTTTCACAATGAGCCATATACACTTACTGGCCACTTTATTAGGTATTCCTTACTAGTACCGGCTTGGACCCCCTTTTGCCTTCAGAACTGCCTTAATCCTTTGTGGCATAGATTTCAACAAGGTGCTGGAAATATTCCTCAGAGATTTTGATCCATATTGACCAAATAGCATCACGCAGTTGCTGAAGATTTATCAGCTGCACATCCATGATGCAAATCTCCTGTTCCACCACATCCCAAAAGTGCTCTATTGGATTGAGCTCTGTTGACTGTGGAGGCCATTCGAGTACAGTGAACTCATTGTCATGTTCAAGAAACCAGTCTGAGATCATTCGTGCTTTATGACACGCCACGGTGCATTATCCTGCTGGAAGTAGCCATCGGAGGAAGGGTACACTGTGGTCATAAAGGGATGGACATGGTCAGCAACAATACTCGGGTAGACTGTAGCATTGACACGATGCTTAATTAGTACTAATGGGTCCAAAGTGTGCCAAGAAAATATCCCCCACACCATTACACCCCAGCCACCAGCCTGAACCGTTGATACAAGGCAGGATGGATTAATGCTTTCATGTTGTTGATGCCAAATTCTGACCCTACCATCCGAATGTTGCAGCAGAAATTCTCATCAGACCAGGCAATGTTTTTCCAATCTTCTATTGTCTAATTTTGGTGAGCCTGTGCCAATTGTAGCCTCAGTTTTCACTTCATACCAGAGTGGCATCAGGTGTGGTCTTCTGCTGTAGCCCATCCTTTTGCATATCAGCTTGAACCAGTAGCCATTCTCCTCTGACTTCTGGCATCAACATGGCATTGTGCTCACAGAATCCGCTCCCTGGATATTTTCACTTTTTTGGACCATTCTATGTAAACCCTAGAGATGGTTGTGCGTGAAAATCCCAGTAGATCGGCAGTGTCTGAAATACTCAGACCAACCCGTCAGGCACCAACAAACATGCCACGTTCAAAGTCACTTAAATCACCTTTCTGCCCCGTTCTGATACTTAGTTTGAACTGCAGCAGATCATCTTGACTATGTCTACATGCATTGAGTTGCTGCCATGTGATTGGCTGATTAGAAATTTGCGTTACAGAGCAGTTAGACAGTTGTACCTAATAAACTGGCCGGTGACTGTATTTTCAACAAGCACATCCATTCTGTGTCTACAAAACTGCACATGTAGAATGAAACTCAATCTTATAATCATGGACTTACCATGAAAGACATCATCTTGATTGCAGTATGTGGATTTGTATTCTGCCAATATATACCTCCATGTCAATAGTAATTGTGCACACATTTCTCACACCCATGTCGATTGCTCTGGTTTCCCTGGGACCACAACAGACATTTACTACTGCATCTATTGCTTATCAAAGTCTGGATGTTCTTTTTGAACTTTGAGACTGGAATGGCTCAATGGATTTACATTTACATTTAGTCATTTAGCAGACGCTTTTATCCAAAGCGACTTACAAATGAGGACAAGGAAGCAATTTACACAACTAAGAGCAACAATGAATAAGTGCTTTAGGCAAGTTTCAGGTCTGTAAAGTCTAAGAAGGGAAGTATTAGTAGTATTAGTATTTTTTTTTTTTTGTACAGTTATGTGATATTCAAAGAGGCAATTGCAGATTAGGAAGTGAAGTGGAGACTAAATAGTTGAGTTTTTAGTCGTTTCTTGAAAATAGCGAGTGACTCTGCTGTTCTGATGCAGTTAGGGAGTTCATTCCACCAACTGGGCAGATTGAGCGTGAGTGTTCGCGAAAGTGATTTCTTCCCTCTTTGGGATGGAACCACGAGGCGACGTTCATTCACAGAACGCAAGTTTCTGGAGGGCACATAGATCTGCAGAAGTGAGAGCAGATAAGAAGGAGCAAGGCCAGAGGTCACTTTGTAGGCAAACATCAGAGCTTTGAATTTGATGCGAGCAGCAACTGGCAGCCAGTGCAAACGGACTAGCAGCGGAGTGACATGTGCTCGTTTAGGTTCATTGAAGACCACTCGTGCTGCTGCGTTCTGGAGCAGTTGAAGAGGCTTGATAGGGTTAGCTGGAAGCCCAGCTAGTAGAGAGTTGCAGTAATCCAGTTTGGAGAGAACAAGAGCTTGAACAAGGAGTTGAGCTGCATGTTCAGATAAGAAGGGTCGGATCTTTCTGATGTTATAGAGTGCGAATCTGCACGATCGAGCAGTTCTAGAAATGTGGTCAGAGAAGTTTAGTTGGTCATCAATCGTTACTCCAAGGCTTTTCACCATTTTGGATGCAGTAATGGTTGCCCCATCCATCTGGATTGAAAAGTTATGGTGTAGAGTGGAGTTGGCAGAAACTACAAGCATTTCCGTTTTTGCAAGGTTCAGCTGAAGATGATGATCTTTCATCCAGTGTGAAATATCCGACAGGCAGGCTGAGATACAAGCTGGAACCGAGGGATCATCAGGATGAAAAGAGAGGTATAGCTGGGTATCATCAGCTATACCTATATGCTGTATGGATTGGTATATCATCAGCTATACCAATCCAGGATTTCTGGATTTCTTCAATGTTTTCTCAATATTTAATGCGGTAGTTGGTAAAATACATAAAATGGTTGTGATTTTGTATTGATAAATGAGATTTTTGATTTGTTTGACAATTTTCACATGATATTTGGCACAAAATAATGAGCCATGACCCTGCTGTACTTGCAAAGACTGAGACGTTTATTTTATAGCCAAACATGAAGCCCTCATGTATCACCAAATTACCTGCTCATTGAGGACTGCTTTAAAACCGTTTCTTTTGGATATGACGTGGATATTCTTTTAATGAGCCTTTGTCCGAATTTTTTTGGAGTCCGTTGCATTTATCAAAATCAAATATATTTGTTGCTGGGTTACATGTTAAGGCTTGTTCGAAAGATTTGTTTAATTGATCAAAGTAGTTTGATCAACTGTAATGATCTGGTCAAATTCCCTAAACAAATACATATTTGTTTTGTGATTCTTCTAGTATCATTTTAAGTTTTTTCAGTCTGTAGTTTTTAGATTTTAATAGTTTTTCAGTATGTTTAACTCTAATTCAAATGAATAGATTTAAATAATTGGTGTCAATATTAAAATGTGAGCTTAATATTCTGATGTTCTTATTAGATGAATTTCAAGGATGGGAGATTGTCGAGAATGGAGGTGACCGCTGGCAAGTCGAAAACAATAGAAGACCATTACCAGACAATACAATCACCCAATGTTTTGTAACATCTTATAGGTATGCGTAATATTTGACATCCAAGAAAATGTTGGCTCTGTTTAGCTTCTGGCACATTTTCAGGATAAAAATCAATCACGACGCTGCTCCACACATGAATTACACCAAAAGATTTTGCCCACAGGTTGTGTTTGAAGCGACAGCTGATTGATTTGCAGAAAGAAGGCTACAGTGCTGCTTTCATGGATCATCTGCAACCTCACATCAAAATCTCAGACTGGTGAGCGATCACTCAAACTCTGTTTATACTACAGTATAAATTTAAGATTTGATGTGATTTTTGTGATTGACTTGGCAATGTAGGTCACATGTGTCCTGTGATTTACTGTCATAGGATATGGTGTTCATATTTACATGTTGCACATAAGTTATTGCCATATTACTAGTACTACTATTATTGCAGAACGCTGCAGAAATTATCTAATATTATAAAGAAACTCTTCATTAATCTGTCAAATTAAAAGAGAATATTTGAAATGTTGTTTGAACCTTGTTGACTTTCAAAATATTATTTTTGTGTTGTACACTATTGATGACAGAACTTTTGGTGAGAATCAGTAAGAAAATAAATAAGTGTAAAGTGTCACAGTGTGCCATATTTTGAGTGTTTCCTTAATTCTGTTTTGCTGCCATCTGATTAAGATGATTCAATTCATTTATTTACACGCCTATTCTGATTTACCTACAGTAGTTGCTTCCTGATCCTTCATTCTCTTTGCATATTCCTACATCATATTGTTAGCGCATATTGTGTTATCTGCAGGTATGGACCACGTAGGGATTGTGGATGTGAGTATCAGATCTGTGTGGAGTTGCTTGGTCATAAGAAGAACCGCATCAGTGTCTTTCAGCCTGAGAAAGTGTTCATTAAAGCATGGAATGATGAGCCGTGGGGTCACGTGAGTAGATGAAACTCAAAGTTAATCCCCTAAATGAAGTGAAGCATCAATGTCTGCATGTTTATTTCTGCCCTATTTCAGATGATTCATGTCTTCGAGGATTATGGACCTGGTGTTCGGTTTATCCGTTTCACTCACGGAGGGAAGGACACTCAGTTCTGGGCAGGCTGGTATGGAATAAGAGTTACTAACAGTAGTGTGGAGATCTGCCCAGCTGCAGAGAGAGAGTCATTTCCTGTATGATTATTTTATACTTCGTTAAGTCATTCTGATGATGGAGCAGTCATTCTAATTATTCTAATGATGATGTTTGTATACAACACACAACATTTTAAATGTAAACGTTAGCATTTATAATAATTCAGTGAAGTGAAACTTGTATAATCAGGGTTTCCACGAGATCTTAAAAAGTCTAAAATTTATAAATTAAATTTTAAGCCATAAAAAGACTTAAATTTGCTGTTCAAGGTCTTAAATATTTTTGCACAGGTCTTATTTTTCCGATGTTCATGTAACTTAATATCTAATGTTGACTTACATTCTTTTTTGTTGCTGTTGCTTGGTTTTCGTGGGGTTGTAGTTCTTTATTTCACTAGTCCTAATGTACTTTGAAGTATTACAACTACAAATGAGACCAACGTGAAATAGCCAATCAGCTCTCTGTTATTAAACTCAGTGCTTGTGCTAAATGTGGCGTCATCGCTCTGTTTGCGGAGGTTCACTTTGGGTGCACATAACATGATTTCATTTAAGTTGAATATGAATCACTTTGAAGAGATGCTGTCTGAAACAGGTACGACTGTACAGACATCTTTATGATCCATACGTGATCATAGGGAGAACCAGATGAACAATAATTATTAGCTGGAGATTGCAACAGCAGTTGGAAAGGAAGAAAGTTTTTGTTAAAGTTTGGAAAAACCTTAGGGATACGTTTATTAAAGTCAAAAGAGGTCTTGACAAAAGTTGATAACTGGAAATATTTGAACCTATTGGTTTACAACATACTGATGGCCTGTTTTACTAGGCTTTATTGGTGATAATGGTCAGGAATGTTGGAACATTATTGCCTTTTTAGCTTATAAGTAGAGGACAGAAACTAGCCAGACAGTAATGTGTAAATTGTTGAGCGGGCAAAAAAAAAAAGTCTGTACTGTAAAAAAAATCTGTAATTGAAAAAAAAAAAAAAAAAAGTTAAAAAACGGCTGTTAAATTACAGAAATTTACCATAAAATAACAGATATTTAATTACAGAAATTGAAATGTAAGAAAAGTTCTGTAATTTAATATCCGTTATTTTAAGTTTTTTTTTTTCGGCACCCCAGCTGCCGGAACTAAACCGTAAAATTACAGATTTTTTTTACAGTATACTTTTTTGTTGCTTTTGTTTCATAATAAAAGATATAATTGTAAAGCAACCCATGTTTTGTTGTCATTAATATTTAACTTAAATAAATATAGAACATATCCAAGATATGAACAAAAGCAAGTGATGCATCAAAGTTTGATTTATTAAATCTTGAATGGTTATAAAAATCTTCAGAATCATTATAATAAACTATAAAAAATGATAAAATTAGTTAGTTTAAAAATCTTGAATGATATTAATGTTATGACATAGTTCCATAAACTTTCTTCTTTTCAGTTTATCCGTCTAACTTTACGGTGGCTTTCTTTTGACTGCCCCTGTCCTTTTGAAGAGCCTCGTCCATTTAGGTTGTGCTCGCAGTCAGCGTAGGTATGCGATGCATAAATAATATAAATCAGCCTTAAGATGTTTGGTTGTTTTTGTCCTGTAGTTCTATGATCCATCAAACCTGTCTTCAGTACTGTTCTATTTGAATACATTTATTTTGCCACTAATTTTGTGATTTTGCATTTTCTCTTTGTGAAGTTGATAAACTAATTTCAAGAGGATCACGTGATTATGATTAAACACGGCTGGTTCTGCATTAGCATGTATGATCCACCAATCAGGCCAGTCCTAACCCACTATAAAGAGCCAGGGTTTTTCACTAAAGTCTTCTTTGATTGAAGAATCCCCTCTTCCACCTCTACTTCTTCACCTTTCCCTTCATAGGGCGGCACGGTGGCCCAGTGGTTAGCACTGTTGCCTTACAGCAAGAACGTCACCGGTTCTAGTCCTTTAACAGGCCAGTGGTCTTTTCTGTGCGTAGTTTGCATGTTCTTCCTGTGCTCGCGTAGGTTTCCCCCGGATTCTCCGGTTTCCTCTGACATTCCAAAAACATGCACTACAAGTGAATGGATCAATCTAAATTTAGCACTGAAGTCAAACTGTCATCCTGCAGCATATCTCTTCATTGCATTCATTTTAGTCATCAGCTTTTATCAAGGGGGAGTTGTCGAGGTCTACCTGAGCTCATAGCTCCCCTCTCGCCCTGCAAAGGGGAGGGAGCCCAGGGCTCAAGGACCTTTTGGGCTCAGGGCTCTCTCCTGGGACAGCATGCCAAACTTGCTTATAATCAATCATCAGCTAAGTGTAAACTCTTGAACTGTATATGCGTGTTTTTGATATTGTGGTATAGGTCTTAAATTTAATACTTAATGGTCTTAAAAAGTCTTAAATTTGACATTGATATCTGCAGAAACCCTGATAATGTATACATTCATTCCACACTGACTGATATATTTTAAGTGTTAATTTATTTTTTTTTTGATGATGATGAATTTGATGACAACAAAAACCCCAAATTCAGTATCTCGGAAAATTCAATATTATAGACATCTGGTGCCAAACTCTAATCTGCTAATTAACTCAAAAACACCTGAAAAGGTCTTTAAATGGTCTTTCAGTCTAGTTCTGTAGGCTGCACATTCATGGTGAAGACGGCTGAGTTGACAGTTGTCCAAAAGATGGTTATTGACACCTTACACAAGGAGGGCAAGACACAAATGGTCATTGCAAAAAAGGCTGGCTGTTCACAGAGCTGTCTAAACACATTAATAGAGATGCGAATGGAAGGAAAAGATGTGGTAGAACAAAAGTGTACAAGCAATAGAGATAACCATAGCCTGGAGAGAATTATGAAACAGGGAGAGAGGGAGATTCAAAAAGAGTGGACTGCAGCTGGAGTCAGTGGTTTAAAAACCACTAATACACAGACATGCATGACATGGATTTCAGCTCTCGCATTCCTTGTGTCAAAGCACTCTTACATTGTCAGAAGCGTCTCGCCTGGGCTGAAGACTGAACTGCTACTGAGTGATCCAAATTTGTTTTTTGATGAAAGTCAATTTTGCATTTCCTTTGGAAATTAGGGTCACCGTGTCGGGAGGAACAGAGGAGAGGCACACAATCCATGTTGCTTGAGGTCAAGTGTAAAGTTTCCACCGTCAGTGATGGTTTGGGGTGCCATGTCCTCTGCTGGTGTTGCTCCACTTTGTTTTCTGAAGTCCAAGGTCAATGCAGCTCTATGCCAGGACGTTTTAGAGCACTTCATGCTTCCTGCTGCTGACCAACTTTATGGAGATGCAGATTTCATTTTCCAACAGGACTTGAAAGCTGCCAACACGTCGGCGCAGTGCGTAGCACTATCGCCTTACAGCAAGATGATCGCTGGTATGAGCCCCGGCTGGGTCAGTTAGCATTTCTGTGTGGAGTTTGCATGTTCTCTCCATGTCCATGTGTTTCCTACGGGTGTTCCGGTTTCCCCCACAGTCCAAAGACACACTCTATAGGTGAATCGAATGAGCTAAATTGGCCGTAGTGTATGTGTGTGAATCCAAGAATGTATGGGTGTTACCAAGTACTGGGTTGCAGCTGAAAGGGCATTTGCTGCATGAAACATATGCTGGATAAGTTTGTGGTTCATTGAACCAAAAAGAGAATGAATAACTGTCTTGGGAGCTGCTCACAGTACCAAAGCTACCAGTACCTGCTTTAAGGACCATGCTATCTCTGCAAACTTGCTTAATCTTAACACCATTGAAAATCTATGGGGTATTGTAAAGAGGAAGATGTGACATGCCAGACCTAACAGTGCAGAAGAGCTGAAGGCCACTGTCAAAGCAACCTGGGCTCTCATAACACCAGAGCAGTGCCACAGACTGATCGACTCGCGTTACTGCAGTAATTCACGCAAAAAGAGCCCCAACTAAGTATTGAGTGCTGTGCATGGTCTTTTCATGTTCATACTTCTCAGTTGGCCAAGATTTCTATAAATCATTTTTTGTATTGGGCTTAAATAGTATTGTAATTTTCTGGGATACTGAATTTGTGTTTTTCATTAGTTGTCACCAAAATTAAAATAAATAAACACTTGAAATATATCAGTCTGTGTGGAATGAATGTACACATACAAGTTTTACCTGAAGTTACTTAATTTATATGATCAGCTTTGTACAATTTTGACAGAATTACTGCATATTTTTTATTCTTTGTTGTTTTTATTTTCTTATACTTGCTGCTTTAATTCCTTTTTATGTAAAACACATACACATTACCATTGTGTATGAAATGTGCTATATAAATAAACTTGCCTTGCCTATTCAGTATTTTATCTATAGCTCTACTATTTGCAAATGAAAATGTTAACTATGTGTATTGTCAAATAAAAAAGTGTATGTGTGTATAAAAAGTGTGTGTTCCTCAGTTCAATGCAATTTAATTCATGTATAATTTTTATAGATCTTTTACAATGTAGATTGTGTCAAAGCAGCTTAACATAGACGTTCTAGTAAAGTGAAATAGAGTCAGTCCAGTTTTCAGAGTTGGAAGTTCAGTTCAGTGTGGTTTGATTTTCATTGCTGAAAGTCTAAACATTGAAAAGCAAATCCATCAATGCTCAGCTCTACACATCCCAACCAAGCAAGCCAGTGGCGAGAAACAAACTTCACCAATTGACAAAGTGAAGGAAAAATAACTCGAGAGAAACCAGGCTCTGTTGGGTACAACCATTTCTCCTCTGGCCAAACTTCTTGTGTAGCATTGCAGTCTGCGAGCTGGAGGCTGGACAACACTGGACGTCCATAGAAAGTTATGATCAAGTGAAAATGAGATGGATTGCCTGAGGGAGGAAGAAACTGTTCTTGTGTGTCTGGCTGTTCTGGTGCACAGTGCTGTGTAACGTCAACCAGACGGTAAAAGTTCAAAGAGTGAGTGTGCTGGATGTGAGGGGTCCAGAGTGATTTAGCCAGGCCTTTTGCTCACTCTAAATAAGTACAATTCAGCTCATCAGTCTGAACTGTTCGACACAGTCTTCAGTAGTCATATTTGTTAGCTGAGCTGAACAAAACAGATTCAGTGATGTCAGTGTACTGTAGAACTGTTTCAGCATATCCTGTGGCAGGTTAAACTGCTCCAACAAAGCGGTTTCATTTTTTTCAAGATTGTTGTCAAGCAGTAAGAAAAAGTAAGCATATATATATATATATATATATATATATATATATATATATATATATATATATATATATATGTATGTATGTATGTATGTATGTATATATATATATATATGTATGTATGTATATATGTGTATATGTGTGTGTGTGTGTGTGTGTGTGTGTGTGTGTGTGTGTGTGTGTGTGTGTATATTTGTGTGTGTGTGTGTATATATATATATATATATTATCGACCACACTGCTTCTTTTTTTATGTAAATATATTATTAAAAATGAAAAATTTGTATGGCAGCAGCCATGCTTTACTCCAATTAATCTCCCATAA